GGTACTTCGTACCACCCTTACTGGCCACTCTATTAAATAATAAAATATTAATTATTAACACAAACGCCTATCACCTAGTGACCCAAGGCGCTTACTGGCCTCTCTATTAAATAATAAAGTATTAATTATTGACGCAAGCGCCTATCACCCAATGACCAGGGGCGCTTACTAGTCGAGTCTTTCAACGATATGTATTATTAATTAATAGCACAATGGTCATCATGTGATAGGTGCTTGTATTGTAAATCGATATTTTATTATTTAATAGAGAGGCCAGTAAGCGCCCTGAGTCATCGGGTGACAGGCGCATGTGCTATAAATTAATAATATTAATCGTTTAATAAAGCGACCAGTAAGCGCCCCGGGTCACTTGGTAATAGGCCCTTGGATTACTATTTAACCTTTTATTTATTTATACAGTGGCAAGCAAGCACCCTGGGTCATTAGGTGATAGGCGCTTGTGTTAATAATCAATACATTATTATTTAATAGAGAGTAGGCCAGTTAGCACCCAGAATCATTGGGTGATAGGCACTTTTGTTATAATATTACAATTTTTAATTTTCGCGCGTCTTTGGTAATGCCCTTCTACTGCTGTGCTCTCTGCTCGACGGAACATTCTTCCAGCATCGTATAGCTATATAAACGATCTAAAAAAAAGTCATATATTGAATCCGCCTTACCCAACGCTGGTACTTCGCAATTTGTACCACTTGTCCTATCTAACATCGTGGCAGCGCTTCAGTTCTTCAGTCACAGACTATGTGCGTAATACACTGAGTAAAACTAGAAGGGGCATTGCCAAAGACACACAGAAATTAAAAATTGTAATATTATTAACACAAGCGCCTATCACCTGATGACCCCGGGTGCTCACTGACCACTCTATTAAATAATAAAATNTTTTTTTTTTTTTTTTTTTTTTTTTTTTTTTTTTTTTTTTTTTTTTTTTTTTGCATTAGAATCTTTAATAATTTTACTCAAAGTTTCATTGAATCTGACAGCTCAACAACGTCTCTTTTTTTTTGCTTGTTTGATCAAGAATAAAACGGTTTTTTTCCATAATGATTAATTAGAATTGAAATAACAAAATTTTATAGCTTGTTCAATTAAAAAAAAGACACAAAAATAACCCGTTCATTGACAACCATGCTAAACATAACCTATCGGACTTATATTAATGTACTTTGGACATAGGTAGCCTAATGAAAACAAAAAGTGCTACAAATTAATATATGGTTCAATACTCTTACTTTGGTTGATGTTAAAAGATATTTTTCCACTGGGTACCGATACGGATTGACGTTAAAATGGATTGACAACAAATGCTGCAGATACTATTTTATGACATCTCTTTTGTATGCACACATGTATTACGTTATATATATATGTATGGATTCAAATTTCTTGTTCAAGAAATTTGCAAGATCTCTTTATAAACGATGACTTTAGTGGGTTGCCGTAAGCAATCTTTCAGATGACTTTACGAAATTTCTCAAAGAAATCTTGTAAATGACATCTTAGAAGTCTTTTTAAACGATGACTTCAGGAAGTTGCTATTAGAAATCTTTTAGATGACTTTACAGAGTTTCTTAAGGAAATCTTGTTAAAGACATCTTAGAAGATGTCTTTTTAAAAGATGACTTAAGAAAGTGGCTATAAGAAATCTTTCAGATGACTTTACGAAGTTTCTGAAAAAAATCTTGTAAAAGACATCGTAAAAGATGTCTTTACGAACTTTGTGTTTACTGGGATAGCTACACTCTACATTCCCATTCTATTTCACAATTCAACCATAGATTACGAAGGCAGAATCGAAGAAAAACAACGCTGCGAGTGAACAGTGAATATATCTGTAGAGTACGTACTGAGAGTGCGAAGCTAGCGACATGAGTGTAATTTACCTGAAGCCAAACTAATACTCCCAGCAAACACATTTTATCAAGATTTCTTGTAGATGTCTTGTAGAATTCTAATGTCTATCAAAAAGATATTTTTAGGGAATTTTACCCTAAAAACTCCACAAAGATGTCTTTCAGATGGACATTAGAACACTACAAGACTTCTACAAGAAATCATGAGAAAATGTGTTAGCTGGGCTAATTCCATGATATTTGGCCATAGACTACGAGCGTAGAATCACGTACAGAAGAAACAACGCAATGCACTCGTTAGTTGTTGTAGTTACAGCCTAGGTATACATTGATGTATCAAAACATAGGAATAAGAAACGGTACGCGAATGTTCGATGTAAATCGAATTCATCGAGCGCACTCAGCTCTAGCGATTTGCATATATTGTTGAAGCACTCCAAATGAAGTGATGTAGGGTGATAGTCCGTAACTTTTTGAGGTGCTGCATAAGAATTTGGACAAACCAATTTCCGTTTCAAAGGCATTTTAGAGCGTCTTTAAGACAAAAATTGGTTTGTCCAAATTTTCATGTAAAAGCAGGAAAAGTAACGGACTACCGACCCTAGTGAGCTTGCCGTGAAAATAGTCATTTCAAGACCTCAAAATTACAGGGGTCTGGGGTCTAATTGAGATAAAAATTTGTCGTCATAGTACGGATAAATGAACAAACCTACGAAGACAAAAAGTTCAGGAGGGAATCGTTAGCTCAGGAACCTAGCACAACTGTAAGTTACTTCATCTTACCATATCTTGACGTCAAATTCCTATTTGCGATCAGACCCTTGATTTTGATCTTTCGATATCTCGCGAATCGTTGTGAGTTAGACGATTTGACCGTCGCATAACCAAATCCATCTGCAGTTGGGCGTTGGTGAGTTCGGTTGCATGACAGTCCATTTCGACGATCTGCTTACATAAGACCTATTTTGTTCAGTTATGTGCTACTCGTTACACGATATTAAAGCGGTGCAACATCAATGGTAAGACAGCATGATGAACAAACATGATAATACAATAGTACACAATTGCATGGATTAATCTTTATGTAGATAAACTCTAGGATAACAGTAATTGTAATTGATTTCAACTTCAGTGAAAATTAAATTAAGCAAATCAAGATCCAAAAATTAACTTTTTGCTGAGATTTAAATATAAAAGAATTTTCTTTTTATTTTTTTATTTTTTTTTTTTAGTCATGTTTTTAATGTAACCAATGTCTAGGCCAATAAGGGCGGCAATCCTGTGAAGGCGTAGGGCAGCTAGAAGCCTTAGTCCGCCCCTGTGCCTACCCACCATTGAACACACCCGTGTACATTCGAATTCTCTTTATCTTATCCCAACTATCAAGATACTGTGACAGTTACTGTCATCATAAGAAAGGACATAAAATTTTACTTCCTAGCTACAAATTCTAATCTCCCTTGATCGCTATAGCTACCCACGGTGCGAGAGAGATCGCTGTATAATTACCATAGGGACCCTGTGGTAACATGCAGCGTTCTCTCTGGCAGCAATAAACACATCATCGGACAGGGTTATGTGGGCTTAGCGGCCTAAGCGCTCTCTATTCTTATATCTCTACAGATACACCCATAGATAATAAGAAAATCAGACTACTCGTTCTCATGTACGGAGCTGAAGCACAAGTAGAAGGAGATGCAACATCGAACGTGTATATCTGTCTCTCTCGCTCATTGCTAAAAGTGGAAATCCGCGAAAGATACCCACGTCCGATGTTGTAATTCCTTCTACTTGTGCTTCAGCTCCGTACATAAGAACGAGCATCGAGCAGTCTATTTTTCTTATATCTATGGATACACCGTACGCACACGCAGAGAATATAGAATATCTGGCACAAGAGTGGTTTATGTGGTTTGTAGTGTTTGTTACAAATATATATTTATCAAGTCACCTTCAAAATAAGTAAAGGTCAGTAATGATAATACTATTTTGCGACTAAATTTGAACGCACTTGCTGAAATTCATAAGTCTTATAAACTTAGCTTACATTCAAAAGAAAAACTGAAATTTAAAACATATTATTAAGTACTTGGTGATTCTCTGGTACGAAGCATAATCCAATGTTCCCTATAATAAGATGATGTATTTGTGAACAAAAATTTGACAATTGAATTAAACTGCGGTACTTATAAAATACATGACTTGATTGATTTTTTTCAAAAATACATGACACCTATACGTGTAAGGTTATAATTCATTTTGAAATACTCTCCTCTATTAGAAACTTTAAGTCCTCCACAAGTCTTTTAATTTTTTATTCCCGTATCAGTTTGAAAATATGGCACGCAAATTCATTGTTGGAGGGAACTGGAAAATGAACTGCATTAAGAAGGAAATTGATGAGATTGTAGCTTTCCTCAAAGATGCTCTATTTGACCCAAATGTTGGTAAGTATAAATTACACATTATATGCAGTAGTTAAGCGCCCACATCACATATACTAGTAAAAATGTTCATTGCTGCATTTAAGAGTAATATGAATGTCACACTTACAGTTGCTATTAAATTTTATGTATTTTTAAATTTTAGAAATTATTGTTGGCGTTCCTTCAATAAACCTGCAATATGTAAAAGCTATTTTACCCAGTAATGTTATTATTAGCGCTCAAAACTGCTACAAAGTTCCAAAAGGTGCTTTTACGGGTGAAATCAGTCCTGCTATGCTTATTGATCACGGAATTCCATGGGTCATCCTTGGTCATTCTGAGAGAAGAAATGTTTTTGGAGAGTCAGATGAATTGGTTGCTGAAAAAGTTGCTCATGCAGTTGAAACAGGATTGAAAGTAGGCTGTAAAAATAATTGTATTGAATTACATTATATAATGTTTTAAAATGTAAAATTTGTTTATATTATTTATATTTAAAGGTAATCGCTTGTATTGGAGAACAGTTGGAAGAACGGGAATCCGGCAAAACGGAAGAAATTGTTTTTAGACAGGTTAAAGCAATTGCAGATAAAATCAAATGCTGGGACAACATTGTCATTGCTTATGAACCTGTCTGGGCTATTGGTACTGGCAGGACAGCTACACCACAACAAGCTCAAGAAGTTCATAATAAACTTCGTCACTGGTTTCAAAAAAATATTAGTCCATCTGTTGCTGATTCTTTAAGAATCATGTATGGTGGTTCAGTTACAGCTGACAATGCAAGGGACTTAGCAAAGGAAAAAGATATTGATGGTTTTCTTGTAGGTGGTGCTTCTCTCAAAAAAGATTTTGTCAAAATTGTTAATGCCAAACAGTAAAGCGCGAGTTAGTGACCCATGTGGTGATTATTTTAGGTGTTTGATAAACTTTATGTAATCATTGTAATATGACAGACATGCAATAATAATTGAACAAATGAAAATATGAGAAATTTATTTTTTTGACTGACAATAATAAATTTCTGTATAAGTGTGTGTAATCCATCTAACTTTATTTTATTTTATTTTTTTTTTAATTTGTACCTCACTTCTCTCTATCAATATCTAATTTCTCTGAATTTTGAAGTATACTAAGCCCTTCTTGCTTAAGTCTTAAACATGCTACTTTGACAAGATGCTTAAAAGTCCTTGGTTCCCAAATGACGAGTTCTGCTAAACTTTTATTGTCTAGATGAATTTCGCATCTCCTCAAGCCTGTTTTCAACATTTTGAAATCCGTAACATGCTCGTTACAACCTGATTCAATTCTGTTTTTCCAAATCTAAAATATTTCGTTTGAAATTTAATATTTTAATAGATTGTGTAAAAGCGAAAATTACCATTCCAATCCATTCTCGTCTGGGATCTCTGCCTTTCGTAGAAAATTGTAAAGAACGGTGTACAGCGCGAACGGCGTTACTAAAGCAATGTCTCGCACGACCTCTAAAATGCTTTACATTAAAATGCATCATTAAAAAAGGCATACAGACTTAACTTGGAAAACAAATTTTAACAGGCATGTTAAATAGTTTTGACTTACAGCAGATAATCTAAAAATTTTTCTCTTTCGCCAAAATTCATCAGGGCCCCGTGATCTAGAAAACAAAGTTAATGTTTTGAGAACCATATCTTGAATTTGTTACAGTAAATTTAAAAAAAATTGTAGAAGATCTAAGTATTTTTCATCATTCGAGAGCCTATACAGCAAGTTTTTGGTAATGCAGATTCTTAGATGTATACAATCTATCTAAGGCCACGGTCACATGGAGTGAAGAGCACAACGCGTACCGCTGTTATCATAGACATATAAGAAAAATAGACTGCTCGTTCTTATGTACGGCGCTGAAGCACGAGTATAGAAGGAGACACAACATCGAACGTGAAAATTTGTCTCTCTTGCACATTGCCAAAAGCGAAAATTTATTATATTTATTAGAATATTTTTACTACATGTCTATGGCTGTTATTAGTAAGCTTCGAGGAAGTGAGCAGACAATTGTGGGACCGCTCGTAATTGGTCGGCCGCCATTTGAGGCTCATGGGGACTTTATTTAGTCATTATGGGACTTGGGCCGTGTTCACATGGGGCGCAATAGAGCGTGCAGGATAGAATTGTCCCCAAGTCCCCATGAGAAAAACACAAAGAATTACTAATTCGAAAAAGAAAAAAATTTCATCATCTAGAAATAACTCTAAAATACCATAATAAGTTATTTGCAGTTAGCGATTTGTCTTAACATCGGGATGATAACTCCAAAACAAGGGGGTTTAGCCTTAGAGAATATATACATGGAGGAAGCATTGTATGCTCCGACCGCGAGACGAGATGAGAGAAACAAAAGACAAATAGTAGTACAACCTTTCTCTCTCTTACACGCCTCTGATTGGTTGGCCCCCTTCCGTATGTATAGGTATAGTCGTATCCACGAGTGGCGGTCGTGGGGGAACAGAGCAGATATATGTAACCTAAGCTCTGATGAAAAAGAACTTATACATTACCAGAGAATATAGAATATATCTTCTTTAAGTATAGAAGGCCAAAGCGGAATTCCGAGCAATACACACTAAAACAATAATCTTCCATTACAACACAATTAAAACAACAAAATTTGAATAAAAATTTCCAATTTTAATTAAAGCCCTCATACCTGGTTAAACAGTTCATGTATGGCTAATGACTCAATTAGAATGTTTGTCATCGATAGCTGAGCGGTCAAGAATGCCCAATTAACTTTTGCGCTCTGGGCTTCGAATCTGACCTACTATCGATGACAAACATTCTAACTGAGTCATTAACCATACATGAACTGTTTAACCAGGTATGAGGGCTTTAATTAAAATTGGAAATTTTTATTCAAATTTTGTTGTTTTAATTGTGTTGTAATGGAAGATTATTGTTTTAGTGTGTATTGCTCGGAATTCCGCTTTGGCCTTCTATACTGAAAGAGGATATATTCTATATTCTCTGGTAATGTATAAGTTCTTTTTCATCAGAACTTAGGTTACACATATCTGCTCTGTTCCCCCACGACCGCCACTCGTGGATACGACTATACCTATACATACGGAAGGGGGCCAACCAATCAGAGGCGTGTAAGAGAGAGAAAGGTTGTACTGCTATTTGTCTTTTGTCTCTCTCATATCGTCTCGCGGTCGGATCATACAATGCTTCCTCCATGTATATATTCTCTAAGG